GAATATGAGTATGCCACATCTACTATATGTTTGATACCCGTTCAGTCCCCACCCCCTCAACCAAGAAATATACCACTTGTACAGGTGTTTGTTTTTGCTATCCACGTGACAGATTCTACACAATCTGAAAACGGACATAGGACATCGTGTTGGCAAACCCCCATTTTTGGACACAAGCTTTTAACCGATATAACTCAGGACGCATCTGGCCACCAACCCCACTGTTCATTTCCAATAAGTTTGTGCGCAAAGATTTGCAAACTTGAATCCGCGCCATTACAAATGCATGCCCAGTGTGCAAGCGTGGATTGTTGCATGGCACCAAGAGCCCAGAATGAGGATAGACATGGGAAAAGTGAAACGAAATCTCAACAGGTCTCAGGGTAATGGAAAAGACGTCCAAATAAACAGGAACGCCATCGGATGCGATTTATAACCTAGTTACCCAGCCGCAGATAGACAGATCAGTGATTATGCTGACCAAACAATAACCTGGCAAATCGTTTCGTCGCCGTAAACATCCGCGCGCTTAAAATTGCTAATGTGGAGTCGAACGAGAAACACTAGAACAGGTACCCCACTTCAAGTCCCTAGGATCTGATATAAAGCTTTCGGGGCCAGTTAAAGACGCGAGATAAGATAGTCAAATAGATAGCAGAGGTCTTCCGTTGGTTCTGGGAATGTGTGAATGGTGCGAAAAATGGATGCCATGGTGCACCGACATTGCGGCAGATCAAAACATATGGATGGCCACAATCAGAGACATCTACGGAACTAGTTGCATAAAAGTATGTCAGTAGTATCCCCATCTGTGAGGTTGTAAGGCTTGGCAACCGCGAGTCGGGGATAGTTGAGTGCGTTGGTGGGATCCCTGAACACCCTTGGTCGCGGGGAAGCACAAGTCACTGAATTGGGGAAGAGACTGACTGTAATTCGAAGGTCAACAGATAATTCACAGAACAGTAAAACACTGGACATGTCCTTGGGTGCTGGTGGTGGGCATGTGTTTTACTGTTAACCTCTACCCACAGAGGACCTGTTTGACGGTGAAAACTGGCAATTTTTTCATCGGGTACAGCTGCATTTTCGTTCCGCTGTTCAATCAACCGATGTTACGAGCCGGGGGAAATCCTGTCGCTGTGCAATACAACGTCTAGAACCAAGCTCGATTTACGAGTAGTGAACAGCATACTTCGGGAGGTATTTTAGGACCGCAAATCAATTATTCATTGCATTACTGTTTCCAGACAGCATTAAATTTTAGAGTGGGTTTACTTTGAGCTTTGATGGAAAGGAATACGAATCGACCATTCATTCGTTCATCAATCAGAGTTTTGTTGATCGATTGTCAACCACGTGCTCGAATTCAACGGGTTTGTCTTTTTTCCTATCATCCATCGACTCAAATCATACAAACTACAAGGCTGATAAATATCCCTGTCCAGAGGCCACAGTTCCAGAAAACTGCCTTCAAGAAAAGAGCGAGACAGAAATACAAAGGTGGCGCCAAAGAGGCCGGTCTGGTAAATCGCATTTGGGTCGAATGAGGATGGCATGATAATGCTATACAACATGTTACGTCGTGTCTCTGCTTTGTACGGGACGTTTGCCCTTCCCAAATCACCACCATCACTAGCGGCATGTGATGGCCATGAAAAGCTAATCCAATGTAGGTCACCTATTCACCAAACACCCGCCCGCAAGCAGATACCCAGATACATCTGACTGGCTTGCCCACCAGATGGTGTATACAAAGCAATACATGCCGTCCAACAGCATCAAAAGGAATGTAATGCAATGGCAGTATGTTTGTGCAGCTAGGAGTGAGTATTCCACTCTACACGAAACAGGGCTTGGATTTTGCAACTCTCACACGCACTCCGCGACAGAGCGTGTTACAACACAAGAAGAACAAAACGCGCAATGCCGAGGAAAACAAAACACATCTGCTGCAGTTCGATGAAAAACAATCGTTGTGTGTCAGTGTGTGATCATTGAGCAACCAAATACACTGTGTTGGTGATGATATTGTTGTTTTTGGCTGAGTCCCTAATAAAAAACAAACAGACAAAGAGAGAACCGAGCGGTTGTTCCAGAGACGGGGAAACAATGACAGATTAGCCAGTCTGTTTAAGTGGGTTGATACATGAATATAAATGTATTTACACGAGTCTTTTTCATATTCGATTGTCCACTAACACACTTGTCCAATCTCTATTCGTGCTGTTCTGCCTGACTGTCGAATCATATAAAAAACATACGTACACACGTACATGCACACTCACTCACACACATACACACAATTGCAAAATATCTCAAGAGGAATGGACTGGCGACAGGGACGGAGAGAGAATCTTCAAAGATGGCACAAAACAAACATGGTAACTCGTATAGAAGAGTGGTATATAAATCTCTCTACATATATATATATATATACACACACAGCTTCGGATGTATACATGTATGTGCGCGCGGAAGACAAGTGGGTTTGACGAGGAGCACACCATGAGCTAACCAAATGGAATTTGATAGAGAGGCAAATTATTCCATCCCTCTCCATCTCAGACACAGGGGTCGGGGAAATAATCACATGACTCGGAAGATCCTCGATCATGATGAGTTTGAGAAATCGCTCACGATCGTAGGTCACACACCAGGAGGTTTGACTGAGAAGGACAAAAACATTCTCGACGGTATTCGCATGTCGACAATGGGCAGACGGGGTTGGCGTTGGAATGGACACGAATACACCAAAGGAACAACGAGAATGAGTCCAGAACTGGACGTCGAAGAGCACGGGAACTGTGCCGGAGACGTGTCGACTATAACCCGGTTACATGATGAGGACAGGTCGAGTATAGTGGATTGTGCGTACAAAAAGTGAACTGGAAACAAAGGCTTTGCGGGGGGGGGGAAGGGGTGTATTTATAATGGATATAGCTTTGGAAATCGGGAACGGGACCGAACCAGGTTGAATAAAAATACAAACAATGTTCCATTTGTCCGATTGGTATGCAGTCAAACTGATTCGTTCTAACGGGATTTATTCATTCATTTGATCGGGAATATGCACTGAAGCACTTTCATCGACGGTCCGAATGGAAAAATAAACCGATGTGAGGCGGCCAACCACAGAGTTGTCAACTGACAGGCACTACCGTCGGGTCATGTTCTGTAGATGAAAACAGAAAGTATCAGGTAAGTAAGCAATGAAGTGGAAAAACGGAACGGGTGATTAACAGAACCGATGGACTGCAAAACTGCACAAATCTGGTGAAAAGAACAGGACAATGATCAATGTTGGCCAACTCGTCAAACAGCGTTGAGACAGACTCATTCGGGAAATCTTCTGATAGTTGATTCATTCGAAGAATTTGAAACAAGTATATACTATGATAAAATACGATACTGCAGTTCATTCGCTGCCAGTTAAGGTTCTGAACTTGTAAAGAAATCCACAAGATAGAACGCAGCAGTGTCTCATCGATGTGAAGCTTGAAGCTGATGGCTAAAATGAGTGGAGCGTTTGATATACTCCCTGCGAAGTTCACAAGGGTTCTATCGCAGTGGTGCTTAGCGTATACGTGGTCCGAATGTGGATACCAGTATGGTAGTCACATGTGGCATCAAAAGTACCCTCAACGGACAGTTAGGTTTGTGCGGATTGGGTAGTAGTGAAAAAAGGGGCCAAAACACTGTCAGTCACCGGTTGCATTCACATGCATATAGGTCAACAAACTTGACCGGTCGGTTAATTGGCCACTTCTGATTCTACTTTTACCCATGAAAAACAAAATGCTGAATTGGCGCCCATATTCTATATGACGGTTGTGAACTATTCGAACTGCACTCGTGGAAAGCCCAGTTGCTATTTATGAAAAACACGCATCCGGGGGTTTCTTGAATCGATTGACCCGGAAAGCTTTACGATTTGATTGTCAATCTAGATTAGGGCTAAACCAGATAGATGGATGGATACTAAACTCCATCGCTGTCCAGGCGGATATCTTGTGCTTCTGTGACGGAAAGTGAACAGAGATCCTAAGGAGTGAACCGTCTGATAAATCATCAGCATTTATTTTTTTCCTTAGAGGGGAGGGGAGGGTAAGAAGGACCACATTTCACTTATCGCTCGGTGAATTGTATTGTATGGTATGTATAGCTTTTTGCAAGCAAGAATTAAATAAATTATCATGAATTTCGGAGAATCCAACAAAGCACAGTACGGACCAGTATTCGCACGAGTGCAATTATCCCTCGAAGGTGCTCACACAATCATCACCCGACCAAATCTGCGTATGTATCACATAAGGCGAGGTTAGGAGAAAAGTGATATACGTCACAAGTCCCCGTGGATTCACGAGTGGTATCGTGCACCTTGTAGTATGCGGTTTGCTCGAAGGTAAACATTGAATACATCCAAACATTTTGATTGCCTCCTCTGATCCAATTTCCTATCAAAAGGATCCTACAATTGTTTAAATCAATTGAGTTTGGGTGATTGCGATCGCCAGCCGAGTGCCTTTGGCGCATGAAAGAACAGAGGCACGGGATGCAGGTAGGTTGTCCTTCTGAAAAGTCAATTTAATAGTTGTACTCAACAGTGCCAGAATGTGCTGGACCGGACTTTGAGGTAAACCTGAATTTTCCGCCATCCAGGGAGCTGCTGCAATCACCTTTATTGCATTTTCTGTGTGGAAAGACTAAAAGACCGGTTACTATGATGGGAGACCTGAGTTCCCTGATATTCCCGACATTCCGATAGCCCGCCAGGCAACAATCACCGATGAGAAGATCACATGAACTGAAGAGGACAAAAACGAACTTTTGGGCACTGATTTTCACAGAAATCGGAACGGCCCCACACCGAAGTTTGGTTCAATGCGGAGTAGACAAATCCGAACTGACGATGTTGAGTTGATGAAGGGCACGGGCGCGGAGGTGAAGAATACTGTCCATACATATTCGCGTTTGAAAAATGAGAAGCGCAGTGAGCCACCGGTCATATAAACAACTCCTTCATTCTTTCCAAACCTCACGCTTGATCGTTCTGCTTCTACACACATGGGTACACACAGAAGAATATACAAACCGAGACTCTGTATGCAGTATTACATGAAGGAAGGAGGAACGTACGAATTTTTTGTATATCGTTTTCTCATCCAAATCGACCGCGATCCAGTAGACTAGACCGTTGTACTTCGGCCCGGCAAATTGTACCGTATACTCCGCTTCTGGATAGCCATCATTCGCCACGCGTCGAGACGAGTTTTTCAACAAATTATGCCTGAAACCGAAATGACAACCGCGCCGATTGATCTCACGTGATTCACACAATGCAGTCCGAACCGGATAAAATTTCGCAAACACAGACTAATTCAGTGGAAAAAAAATAACAGGCCAACGAGACAAGAATGCGCTGACTCACGAGGTGCACGAATCCGCCTATGCGGTCGGTGATGGTGGTGTATGGGAGGACGAAGACCGGTTAATGAGAGTGCTAGACGCAGCGGTATGTACATTGTAGACGGAGAACCATATCTTACATAGCTTAAAATAATTGATTAATTAGGTACACGAGGTTGTAGTGGGCATATACAATGGAAGAGTTAATTCTGGTTGAAACAGTAAACCGAATCAAACCAAAACAGAGTACAATTGGAACAATAATCATAAATATTGGTGATTATTATTATCATTATGAGTGATAATAACATCATACGACAGAGAGGGGTTGACCGCTCCAAAGCACGGAGTGAGCATTCTGGGTGCACTTGGTGATAATAAATCAGCTATCGGTGAATGCATGCAACACAGGTCAACTTTGAGGTCGGTGATTGGAAAACAAACACCGAGATCGCTACCGCCAATCCGACGGAAAGCCGGACTGTATGAACTAAAAGTATGATGAGAAAATGCCTCACAGATTACAACTAACCACTCCAGTTCCCGTAACGCAAATCTCTATCAGTTGTTAGGATTCCGTGTGCGAAAAAAACTCCACCTACAGCATTCATTCTTGGTAGGAAAGATGAGAACAGCAAGCAACCAGGACAATGCAAACACCATACATTGTGCTCACAATTGACCTTCTACCAGATGACCTTGTACGGTGCTTAGTTTAGCTCCATCTACATCGGGGACATGTCGCTATCTGTATGGAAACTGTCCACCTTCTGTGGCAAGCGGAGACCCACAGCCAACGAAATTTCAATGATCAACTGCCATCGAAACGCACGCTTCAAATGGGTGATACATTGGTTGTGCGTGATGTATTCGGCGCCCAGTCTCGGCTTAACGGCGTGTGAAATATGATAATATAATGAACAACAACCTTTAACTGAGTATGCAATTATTCTGGGTTTTTCCCCAGTAACCGTCCGGTCAAAGCACTCGTTTCTCGAAGCCGAACACTTGCCATCTAAGAATTGCGACACAGTTATTCCTTCGTAGCTACAGCTCTGCTCCATTGATGCACAGTATGCCAGTTTATCGTGTTCCAGATTAGGGACAGTTACTTGATGCGATTAATCAATGGAAATCGGTTATCCCAAGAAAGCCTCATCGGTCCAAGTGCATTCAAGACACAAGTGTTAAACTGTAACCGATACATTCCTGTTTTGAAGATGAAGCGATTCGCCGGGGTGACATGGGTACGTCCTTCAATGTGACCTTGGACTTGTTACGGAAGGTCAATCGCTACCGGAGAGACGGTGGTATAAACTTTTTTCGGGGGGAGATCGTTTTATTTTACTCCGACACTGTAGATACTCGTGTTCGTCTAAAGCTTTCGTTATCCGATCATTAGCATTCACTGCAAACCGAACAGAGGCGCATCCAATGCATGCTTGGTTGCATCGTAGTCGCTTCCGCTGAGTTCCCGTTTCACGACGAATCTCAGTTCGCTTTACTCGATACCGGTCAGTTTGGGCCGGTGTGCGTTGAGAAGGCGGAGAGACCGAACAAGGATCAAGAGCTTCTAGCACCAGTTGAGCAGAATGCAGCATATCCGTGATGTGTGACCAGTGTTG